ATAATGTAAATGGGCATATATTTGTTTTTTGTTAAGTTGCCTAATAATTATGCACAGTAATAGTCATCTGCACACACAGATATCCCCCTAAAATAGCTCAAACTAAAAACAAACTAAAAACTACTTCCAAAAACATTCAGCTTTGATATTAATGAGTTTTTTGGGTTCATTGAGAACATGGTTGTTGTTCAATAATAAAATTATTCCTCAAAAATACAACTTGCCTAATAATTCTGCACTCCCTGTATAATGGGTCACCAGGCCAGTGAGAACTTGCTGACTTTAACATCCTGATCCAGACTGGTAGTCAGTCTTTTATTATTTATCATCGACTGGAGTTTGGCAACGAGGCACAAACTATCCAGTCAAAATGACCTGAGAGACCTCGCATACTAACCCCAATAAAACAAACAGTGTAAATAAAATGCAAACGCAACTAAGCACAAAGCTAAACTAACTCAAATCAAACCCCTGTCAGCTCTCTGCTGTTGAATGTGTTTTATTTCATGGCCATGATAATTACTGATAGGAACAAATGATTAACATAAAAAACAGCAATATGCATGTTTATTGTTGTAAATGTGTGTAAATGAATAATAAGGTCAGATGTGAGGTGGATAATATAAGCATGGCTGTGGCCCTCGCATCCACACTGATCCGATCTATATTTGTGCTTTCTAACAGACCCACATTTTTTTTCAGAGCAAACTCTGATATTGACCTGCTCACTGCCTGCAGGGTTCCCTATTGACTGGACTCTGGTATTTCAGATTCAGCATCAGGTTATTACATTCAATGTCACCAAGCTCCAGATCTCCTCAATACATTTCTTTGGTCCTACTTACCAATCATTGGACTGCTGATTGGACTAAGCATTTGACAGATTTAGTATTGCAGGACTGTTGCTTCATCCAAATATAAAATTTAGGAGTAAAGGGCAATTCCAGACGCATCGCCTCCTGCTGCGAACTGTGCCGCAGATTTTGTACTTTGGACTGATCAAGCGATACTTCAATAAAGAATATATTTAATAAGGATATCTTAGAGTTACAAAAATATTTTTTACTTTGAAATGTCAAATTGTCTTTCATCCTTAAGATTTTTACAGACTTTGAAGCCACAGCATCAAACTGATTCGCCAAATCTTAGATGCAACATTTACAGTGTAAATATGAAAGCGTCCTCATTCCTTTAAATGAATTCATTATAATATTTGTTATGTCTTTGACAAAATAATTCTCCATTTCTGGTGTATACCACAAATGAACTTTCTCTGGAGTGTTTAAACTCACCTTAGGAAAAAGAGCTTGGTCATTCACAGGGAGCCCAGAGACTTCCCACCAGGGCAGATGGATGAATTGATTTTTTTTTTTTAAACATCTGTCTCCTTTAATACTGTAATGCATTGATCTCAATATACAGTGCCCGGCCAAAAAAAAAAAAAAAGAAGTCATACACAAGACTACTTTGGTGGACCGCCTTTAGCTAAAGGCGAGCATTCACCGTAGCATTGTTTATAATAAGCTTATGCAATCCCAGAAAGTTGATTCTGCTTATCTGGATGCAGCATTTTCAGTGGGGGGAAACATTTCCTCACTCATCTAAGTGACTTATACAGTCCCAGCTGACTGCAGGTTTCCCCAGCCTTATAAACAATACACATGCATAACAATCCAAACCAGCGCCGCTGCATAACAATGAGCATTGAGATTTCATCGTTGTTGATATGCAAACTGCCATGACCATTAATCAATGTCCATGAGTACAAACAATTGGGAAATGGCTGCAATCACTGCACTGAAAGATGTACTCTTAGAGAGGCTTGTTCCTTTTTACATAAATGGCCTCCTTGACTCGCCTCTCCAATGTCAGATTTATTTCAGTTTCAGTTTTTTTTTTGCCGAGTAGTTTTTAAGTATTGATAATGATTGGAGAGTTGAACCACTGAGTAAAGTCTTCAGCAGCACATCCTAAAGATTGCCACTGAGGTTACAGTTTGGACTGTGGTGGGCATGTGTACAAAAAAAAAAAAACTTGTCTCCCTGAATGTCACAGTTGGAGCCTGATGATGAAATCTGCCATGAATCTATGCCATCAGCAAGCAAAAAACCTGCTGATCTTCAGTCAGGAGTCAGGTGACCCAATTTTTTTAGTGTTGCTGAACTCGGACTTGACCAACAGCAGCAACTCCGGATCCTAACAATGCCCCCACAGGTCTGTGGGTACTCGGCATGATAGCTGGTGTGGCTCTAACACGAGGAGGAGCGGCACCTTTTCTAGAGCTTCATACTGACTTACAATATAAAAGGATGGATTAGATAAGCGTTACTACATAGATCATGGATGACATCTTATTTGGTTAGAATTAATTATGAGCTGCAGTTTAGACTCACAGTAGTTAGTCATCTGAATTATTTCACTTCTGTAATAAAATAAGGTTTACACATTTAAATATGAACCTTTTTGGTGCTAATGGAGACGACCTTGAGTATATCTGTTAGGATGAGTAAAAAAAAAAAACAAAGATGTTGGAAATCACTGAATTAGTAACTTGACAGGACATTAGAGACTATTTAGATCAATGTTCAATAAGTAATTTAGGAAAGATGATAAACACTTAATTCAAGCTTTTCAATACTTTTCAATATACAGTTGTCCATTTCGAGTGCTTCCGTTACTACTTTAGCATGCTTTTGTTTTCCAGTGCAGGATTTTTTTTTCTTTTTAAATTATGTGAGAATCAGCCCAGCTAAAGTTTTGTTAAACTATGTGCCGACCACTTCCTGTAACACGGGAGAACATGAGGGAGGGAAAAACCACAGTGTAGCACTTTTATATAATTTTCTTATCACTCGCTGCTGCCTAAGGCTTGAAACGACATAATAACCAATGTGGAGTCCCATAAACAAGTTTAATAAACATTTTTAATTAACTGAGCAGAGCAGAGTCCCATCATTTATTTATCGTTAAGTACCTGCAATTTCGGAATTCTGCAGTTTGACACACCCTGTGGGGACTAGTGCTCAGCACAAGTGGAGGAAATGATAAGGAAAATGGACTAAGGTAAATAATTTCCAATTTGAAAGAAAAGCCATTTAAATGGAAGAAATTAGAGGTTTTATTAAGCTTCCTGTTCATGAAAAAGGTAACTAATAGTTGTTTAGAGCACAAGCTCAAGCACCTAAACTCGTGGTACCAGACTAACTTTCTTATCAATATCTCTAATAATCACTTTAACAGACAGTTATTTTATTCTTTAAATAGACAACTGTCTTGTTCAAACTTATAGACTCTGCTGTTTTTACCTAACACAAAAAAGGGCTGTGAATATTTTATTTGTGATTTGACACTCAGTTACACTAATATACTAATTGATATATTGCTTGATAAATTGATATAGATGCTATATTGATTTGAAATAGAATTTTGTAAGGGCAGTTTCACATTATTTGTTGCTTACAGGCTACAAATAATATGGATATCTGCATATGATGCATGTAAATATCCAGACTTTGCTGTGGCTAAAGCTAGTTAATTACCTTACATGGATGATGACCTCCAGTTTGCAATGGGGAGGTTTGCATTTGAGTGAAATGCAAATTAGCACCTCCAAATCTATGGTCATGATTTTCAGGCAGTAAAAGGTGGTAAATGCATCCTGGGCTGGGACCAAGTTTCTGCCCCAAGTGGACGAGTTCAAGTATCTTGTTCATGAGTGAGGGACTGAGGGAGGGGGAGACTGACAGATGGATTGGTGCAGCGATGCAGATGTTGTACCGGCCTGAATGTTAAGAGAATTCGGCATTAAACCGAAGCTGCTGATTTACCGGTGCATCCATGTTCCATCATCTACAGCCACACGCTGTGGGTAGTGACCGAAAAAAATTATATCATGGATACAAGCAGAGGAAAAAAGGATCTTGGTCCGAAGACTGTCTGGGCTTTTCTTTAGACACAGAGTGTTGAGCTCTATGCTAGAGGAGGGGCTCAGACGAGGGGATACTTCTGCATGCTGAAAGGATCCAGTTAAGATGGTTCGGGCATCTGACCAGAATGCTTTCCGGATGCCTCTATGTAAGGTGCTTCAGACATGTCCTGCTGAGGGGAGGCCCCTGGGCGGACACAGGACACACCAGAGATTGTGTCACTCGGACGGCATAATAATATCTTGGTGTCCCACAAGAATAGCTGGAGTAGGTGGCTTGGAGAGGTGGAGGTTTGGCATCTCTGCTTAGATAGCTGTCCTCGTGACTGGGACTGCGATGAGCAGCAGCAAATGCAAATTGCACCCATCACTTTACACAAATAGGGGACACTCCCAAAAAAGTCTCTCATATTAACAATGGATTTATGGTAGATACTTGAAAATTCAACACGATACAACTTCCTAATTACTGTGAAGATACTAATGATAATTTTCCCCCAGTGCAGAAATATTCTACATATATGAGAGGAGATTGCTCTAAAAACAGAAACCCAAATAAATCAGTGCTTCAAATGACAGAAAAAAACACAGAGACACAAAGAGAACTGAAAGAAATGGTTGCTACACAAAGGGGAAAAAAATCAATGCATTTCAGCAGTTTATACAAGCCTGCCATTTGGGATCTAGAGGTTATGACTGTCAAATGTGAAACAATATCAAACAACAGGCCTCGTAGGTTTATTTTGTACTACAGTTTCGAAATGACTGAAAAGCCTGATTGAAAAAGCCTGTGGAAAAAAAACTGTTGTGAAATTACATTGCACAAGAAAATCAATACAAAAAAGGACGGGTATAATAATCAAAAGCCTTTACAAGTTCGACCAGTGTCCTCTCAGTCGCACCTTCTGAGCCACAGCCTCGTAGCTGCGGTGACCTTTTAAGCCGTTTATGCCTGTGCATAGATATTGGCATTAACATCGTCCCGCTTAAATGAAAAGTGCTTGCTAAGCCAACAACTGCGCTCAGTGAACTGTGCGCCTTGGAGGTGAATTATATCATGCTGGATTACCCTTACCTTAATTTATCTTTGCCAGCTTTGTATCTGGAGACTCTGGCCATCAACAAGGGCAGGGAGACGGCATCCAGCCAGCGCTTCTCATACTTTGGTTCATTAGCTGAGGGCGAAGGGGGTGATGGAGCCTGCGTGGAATACATGAACGATGCGTGAGCTTTCTGCTTCTGTTGACCAAATTCTTTTGATTACTGATGGATGATACACAAGCACCATTTACATGCAAAAGAATTCCCTTCTCAACCAGGGCTAATCAGCTATTTTTGTCTGAAGTTCTCACTGTCTGCTTACGCCAAGCATGTCTGAACTTCGATATACTGAAGTTACAGACTCCAGCTGTTTTCTTAAAAAACATACAAATAGCAACAGTTTTTCTTTCCAAATCAAACCCAATTATTCAATGTAAGTGGTGCAAGTATATCTGGTGCCCCAGATATTAACAGAAATCTCCTCTGTAATCAGGGAAATCACCTCCTGTTGCAGTTAACATGATGAAAATAATCAATAACTTGTATATTGACTCTACATGTAAACTACGTTCACAGTGAGTAAGTTTAGAATAACTGTACTGAAACTAAAAAAAAAATCACTCAGCAGAACCTAAAAATGTCCATATTTTGCTAATGGAGTAAATATTGCACTCTCACTTCTGTAATGAAACCACGTTCTGACTTCAGCACGCATCATAAATCCTTCCCTTCAGTTCTGAAACTGAATAAATCAGTTAGAAAAACCTTTCATTTATTTCAAAATATTCACTTTGAAATTGTTTTGTTATGAGTATAGCAATTGTGTTTGTGGTCAATGATTTTGTGGAATACTAAGCAGGTGTTGGCATCAATTTAAAGAGAACAGGACCCTCCACAGTGTTTGTATAGGCCCAACAGATAAGTGGAAGACGGCAAACTATTTTTAACTTGCTGCTTTTCTTTGGCATTTAGCACAATTAAACCACATGATGTAATCAGTCTTGGTTAAGTTCTTGCTGACTGGATTCTGGACTTTCTAACAGGCCACACAGGTGAGAGTATAAATACTCATGTTTGGTCTCTTCGGTGCCTGGAGAGGAAATGACAAGTTTAAAAAAAAGTTTCTCTTCAGTTACAAGGAAAGCAACAAACTTTGTGCACTCAGACCTTGATTCAGAGAGACCACAGCATTACAGGAAACTAACAAAGAGTGCCTTGTAGTTGGGTTTTAAAAAAAGTTTGTAACTAAACCAAAAACTGTTCCTGGAAAAGAATCTTTGTCCAATTGTATTGGTCTGCAGCAGAGCATGACTCCAGACAACAAAGGAACATGGCACAGTCTGATAAAACTAAACAAACCAGGTATAAAATCTGAAGAGTTAAAGCTTCGTTTCGTTTAGGAACAGAGCAAACAGGACAAACAGACATTCTACCAATCAGGCTACATACAAAGTTTAGATAAATCAGGTAACAGCCATTCTTTGGTGTCTAAAAAGAAGCTGGGGTAGATTTAAGTACGTTTCTATTATCATCTTATTAGCATTCACCTGGGAAACGGTTAGTCTTCCCAGTGTGCCCAGATAAATACTGATTACAGCTGTGTTAATGGAAATGTGCAGCATCGTTTACAAGAGAGAGAAGTTACAAAAACGTCAACTCACTCACACATACTCAAAAACACAAGTGGATCTGCAGAAAATGGTCACATATCAAAGAAAAACGTCCTGTTGACATTGATTAATGACAGAATGAAATTAGTTCTTATAAAAATGTTGAGGTGTTAGGGAGTAATTTCAGGGGAAATACACTTGCCATTTAAATTGATAGGTTTCAGTCATGTTGACCGTGTCTCTCTCAGCTCTCTTTAATGGATTTTTTTTAATAAGTGGTGAGTGCTGGATACAAGCCTCTGGCAAATACAGAAGTGCATTTAGATATTTATAGGCAAAATTAGGCAAATAAAACTAAAATTGCTGTTTAAAAAATGCCTGGTGTATAACAATAATACAATGTGTTAATATGAAAAGGAAATGTGTGTTATGGATACGTGTTGATGGTGGCATTTAACGTGGCATTAAGCGAGTCTTCAAATTACTTTATAATGGACTCCAGAGCAATTCAGCATTACCATAATGGTCAGTGCAGCTCGCTCTGAATTAGTCTGTTCAGAAGAGGAACGAGCATGAAATGTGTATTCAAAATAGTTGTGCTTAAGTTTTCTATATGACGAAAGTTTAAGGAAAAACGATGATGGCTGATTGCTGTACACCGCATACCTTTGAAGCATTATACCTATAACGAAATGCACTCCTCAGCTATGTTACTGGGTGGTGCGGTTTCACCATCACCACCAGCAGCCTGAGCTGTTCGTACAAGCCAGGATGGATCCATGCTTTCATATTGTGTATATAGTTTACTCAAAATTCTGACCCCACCATCTGTATTTTGTAACAGAAATCAAGGCTCATCAGACCAAACAACATTTTTCCAGTATGCTGTTGAATTATGTCAATTTTTAGCCTCCGTTTCTTGTTCTTAGCTAACAGCAGTGGCGCCTGGTGTTATCTTCTGTAGCCCATGAGCTTCAAGGTTAAAGGTTCTGGTTCTTTAGAGAAGCTCTTCTGCATACCCGCGTTGTAACAAGTGATGTCCTTTCAGCTTGAAGCAGTCTTGCCCATCTCGTCAGACCTCTGACAAGGCATTTTCTCTCAGAACGGCTGGAGCCTATCCCAGCCAAGAGGCTGATATCAAGTCTATGTATTAAGTATAGCTGAGTGGCAGGGTACACCCTAGACCCACACCCTAGGCCAGTCTGTCACAGGCCTAACACAGGGCACGCACATTCATACTTAGGGGCAATTTAAGATCACCAACTTTCATATTTTAAAATCTTAATAAAGTCTGGGGAGTTTTAAGCAAATGTATTTCCCATTAACAGTTAAAAATCAATACAGATGAAAAAGCCAAACAACCCTTAACTGGAGGAAGAAACTAACAATGTTTGTGGGAGTTTGTCCATACAAAAGCTTGCAAGGAATCTAGCAACTGAACACCAATTCCTGTCATGAATATAGAACCATTGATATATAGTGACTATGTCAAATAAAACATATGATCTTTATTTTTAAATGCGGGCAGTGTTACAAATTCTGACAAGTAACTCGCCAATAAGATGGGAGGAGTCAGGAGGAATAGAAGAGAAGACTGTTTGTGTGCTGTTGGAATGGAGATCTGCATTTCCCAGAACAAAAGTGGTTCAGTAGAGATCCCTGTGGTACATCAGTATTAATGTACACAATTCTTTGTGTTCTTTGTCTCAATTTTTGGTAACAATGTCACCATTCACAGTGCAGTGTGACGTTAGATCATTGAAGAACTCATTGGCTATACTGATCAATGCAGTTTCAAGCCATCTTTTCAACAGTTCTTCTGGGGTTGTCTGAAGTATAGTCTAGATTTTGTAACAATTTAGGAATATTAATCTTATGCAAACACTTATGACAAAATTGCTGAAGCAAATGTTTCCTACTGTTTTTAATTTTGGTCTATCATTACTATTGGTATCCAAGTAAGAATCGTGCTTTTGCAGCAAAAAAAACCACCAGACTGTAACATAATTAAAATGCCTCAAATTGTTTCAGAATTTCAAGTTCTAATGGAGCTTCTGACTGATCTGCTGCACCAACAGTCATTTATTCTAAATAGTCCTGCAGCAAAAAATGTTGACAAAAGCTTTGACAGTTGGAAGTATGCCACATTTAAATGCAAATCACACTATACTTAATGTGTAATCCATCTGTTCTTCATTATCTAATGAGTTACAAGCTTGAGGATCAACTGAGTGAAGCAGAGTGAACATCAAACAGTGAATCGTTCCTGAAGCCAAAGATTATCCGTCAGCACAAAATCCCAAAACTCCAAAAAATAATCTGATGTAGTCCCACTTTATCATTGCATGCACAGTAGAGGAAGGCTTGTGTTCACAATGCGAGAAACCAAATCGCCTACCTGCCTTCCTCTGACTTTGAAATGGCTGAAGATGGAGCATTTAAATAGCCGCTAGGTGGACTGCAGTCGAGAGTGAACGGCAGAGGAAAAAATGCCCACCTTTGCACATTGAGACACATCATTGCTGAACTGCAACATGTCGCATGCAGACCCCTGTCAGCTCGCCACCAGTAATAGCAACATTTCTAAAGAAATTATCATCCTCTGCTCCAATTATGTCAACCCCGAACAACATGTTACTTAACTCTCAAGTGGAGCTCTGCAGAGAGTAGATGAGGTGGTAGGAAATGGAAAACTATCAGGCTGTCAGAATGGATTACACTGACAAAGCACCTGCCTCTTCTGTGGAGCTGGAACAGAACCTAAAGCCACAGCCAGTCATTCCATCACGGATACTGATATTTGAGAAGTGTCATGAACTGAGAATAATTATTGGAAAGGCTAGTGAGGACAAAGCTCAGTAAATTTAAGAGGACATTACTAAAATATATAGGCACAGTTCTCTCCTTTCAGCTTAAAATATATTATCAGCATTTTAGTACAGAAAAATATTTTATGTACAGCAATGTAGGGCGCAAAAATCAGCAAATTATCCTGAAGGAGTCTTGACTGTCTAAACCATACTTCTACTAAAACAATGAATTAAAAAAAGAGGAAGGAGAAGGGTGCTGCAGTGATTTCTGTGTGGAGTTTGCATGTTCTCCCTGTGTGTGGCTTTTTCCAACCAGTAGGTTTTACTGGTAATGATTTTTTTGGTAGCTCTCTAGGCTTATTCTGCAACATATCCCAGCTGCCATAGGATGAGAGGCAGGGTACACCCTGGAGAGCTCACCAGCCCATCGCAGCGCTAACACATAGATGCTAACACTTATGGGCAATTTAGAACACTAATTGTGCAATTCTAATGAGGATGAATGGCATTATTTGGTATGACCAACTATATTCAGACTGTATTTTTCTGTGTTCATAAGTCCATCAATTTTGACGAGAGCCCCAAAATCACTACCTGACATGTAGCTAAAAATGATGACAGAGTGTCCACTGTGTTTTACAGATGTTTGTAGACACCATCTGTTGTAACTCTCTGACTATTTGAATTAATAAATTTAAAACTCAGATTCACCAGTCCCTAAAAAATCCTTTTTGCCACT